ACAACTCTCCCTCAGAATCCAGTGCATTGTAATCATATTCATCTCCCACACTGTCTTCATTTGCATGACCCTCCCACTGTTTTGGATTTCCTTCTTCTCCATAACTGGATTTTGTTTGAAATAAACAAACCAGCAGCTGGAATTCTGGCTCAGCTATTAGTTAAAATGGCTTGTTGCTTTTTTGTCAGTTGGTTTCTAGTCCAAGCTCCCAGGTAGGGCCACTCACAGAGGCCTGTCCTCTGCAGGCACAAATGCATACATAATTAATAAAAATAAAATATTTTAATAAATAATACTATTTTTTTCTAGTGAGAAGTGCCAGCTCACTGTGGTTTTGAGCTCTATTTCCCTTATTCTTGCTGAGTATCTTTTTTTTTTGCTTGAGTATCTTTTTTTTTGATAAACTTGTCCACCATTTTGGTGTCTTCCTTGTGTTCTATATATTTCTTGATGATCTTTATTGGGTTTATTAGTTCTAAGTAAATTCTGCGACTAATAGCAATTTGTGTTACTTCCTGAGGCCTGCTCCTCTTATTTTTTTCTTCCAGTTTCATTGTGATGACAAGAACTGTACTATTTTCATTCAGAAGAGTAAGATGATCAATGTGACCTGGGAGGTCGTTATCCTTCATCAAGGGTATCAGTTAAGATCCCCTTAGGTGCTGAAGCAACATCAAACTTTTGTGCTTCGGAATTGATCTCTTGCTCTTTGGCAGGCTGTCTTGGCGCTGGTGTTGATGATATTATCTTGCACACAATCCCCCAGTAGCTTCCACCTGGTGGGACTAACTCCTCAGAGTCCAGTCAATTGAGCTGCAGATGGCGGACAGAGTACATTAATCACAAGACAGAGTTTTATGGTCAAAATATGGAAATACTGCACATCTCTTGCATTCTAATTCCATCTCATGGCCATGTCTATTTGCAATTGAGTCCCAATAGGCCATGCAGTTCTGTGACTGGGTAAGGGGAAACCAGAATTTTAAAAAGTCCCTAGCATTCTGTCATAGCACTTTTATAAAAGTGACCTTCTAGTCTTCAGTTTCTGTATTTACATGATTCTGTAGTTTTCTTCTTTTTGTGTTCAGCTTGAATCTTTAGGGAGAACACTGGCTGCTCTTAACTGCTGAGACATCTCTGCAGTTGTCATCAGTCTGTACCTTTTGTATCTGAGATAAAAAAATGATCCCGGCCAATCACATTCATTTCTCATGTCTTTGATTTTGTTCCAAAAAATAAATTAGACTCACAAAATTATCTGAAGATTTATATTTCTTATTGTTTTTTGTAGTGAAATGTATCCATTTTTGGATAAAAATATTCAAAATTATCTATTTTTTGTTATGGGACAGTATGGGTAAGTGTAATTATGTTAGAATCTAATTCCACTATAGGAAAGCCCCTAGACGTCTCTATTCTCATTAATAATTCAGATTTTTCTAGGAATTAATTTTACATAAATATTTTGCAGTTTTTCAAAATATTGCAAGGGGTCCTAGCTGCCAAGCCTGAGACCTCAGTTTCATTCCTGAGAGCCAAGCAGTGAAAGGAAAGAACCCATTTTTGAAAGTTATCCTCATGACCACCTCCTGTAACAATCATTTTAGAAATGCACAAATCTTAACTGTATGTTTTGATGTGCTTTGAAAATTTGTCATCCTGATTATTCATTGTAAGCCAGAACACAAAGCATTTGCTCTGGAGGGTGTCTCCACCGTGACTCCTCTACTTCTACTCTTGTAACATGACTGCTGTTTTACTTAGAGTCTAGTTATTGTTTCCAGAAACATCAGTTTTTTTGTGTCTTAGGATGGGAAGCAGGGGTTGGAGTTTCCAGCAGCTCCCAAGCTCTCTGTGGTTAGAAGTAGTCAGAGGATTCACGACTTGCTAGCAGAATGACTGCCAAAGCTCTCTGTGTTCTGACTCACCTTTCAAACTATTGCATCTCCTAGTGCATTTCCTTTTCAAAGCCCCCCACAGGGCTTCCCTTCCCTCCTGGGGCTGCCAATGATGGATCTTTTTGAAGGAGAGTCCTTTGGTGAAGCTCTACTTGACTATGGATAGCTTATTTATAAAATGTCTGTGGTCTATGCCTACATTATTTTGCTCTGGAAGTTGAAACTATCTCTCTAAAACTCTTGGGTATCTGGCTTTTGTTTTACCTTTTGTATTTGCTGGTGACTAATTTAACGATTTATTTATTTCTTTTTCTGTAAGACACTCAGATATGGTGAGGTGAGCATGTGTTTAATTCCCCAAATAATTATGTGGATTCTCAAAAAAAAAAACCAGAAATAGGTATAAATGTTATAAATATGCCTGACCTAGTTATTTTTATAGTTCTTGTAAAAATATTTTCTACTGAGCAATCTGACAAATAGCACCAAAATCTTCCTGGTTTAGTTTATGAATCTTTTCTGTAGCTTCCCTTTCAACTTAAATATTAGACCCAGAGGAAATACCTTTAAAGAAATATCTGTCTAACTGAAGTGAGTAGGGGGTCAGTGACATGAACTCCAGCTTCCATTTCCACAACTTCTGTCTTGACTAACAGTGGAATTCAAAGACCTCTCATGTCAGGTAAGTTTTCCCTACCTCCACTTGCTCTTCTCCACAGAGGAGACCGCAGACTAGTAAATAGACTTATAAAAAAAAATAGTCTCCTGCTGTGGGAAAAAGATATTTGCAACAGAGGTGAGAAGAATTACAAAAAAAAGATATTAACTTTTTGTAAACATTGCAATAATGAACAAATGTAATGAATTTGTGGCAATTAAAGTCTGCAGCAGGTTCACAATATGATTCTTAACCTGTTAAAATTTGATCAGCTAGTTTAACAGAGACACAACTTCTTTTATGTATTATTCAGTAATCAAGAAATGACTAACACATTCCAAGCAGAGAATCTTGGAGAGAGAGAGTTCAAACTCATCTGTCTCTGCAAGTCCAAGCTTAAGAATCCATGGTGCTTGCCACTTATGGAACATAATGATAAAGCCATTCCTTATCTCCCAGCCACTCAGAAACTATCTTTTTTTAGGTTTTGATTATTGGTGTGAAAAAGTCAGTTGCATAATGAATATTGAGCCTTGTGGGAAGGGATAACTAACCATTTGGAACTATGACAGCTGTATATTTCTTTCTTTTTTTTTTTCCTTTTTTTTCCACTTCCATATCAAAACCACTTATATTTCAAACAGAAAACTTGGAAGGAACAATACACCACACACAACACAAATGTTTTACAAATGTTCTTCTTTTCTTACAGTGTATACTTAAAAACCAGATTGTCTGTCTAAAGCTGTTTTTCCATTAGCGTGGGGAGGTTTGGCTGTTGTTCAATATGCTATTCTGGAACGTTTTATCTCAATAGAGCAGTGTGGGAATCACACATGTTCACGTAGACAGCTAAGAGAGACAGGAACTCAACAGCCCTTCTTTGCTGTTGCCAGTTGTTTCCTTCAGAAGAGAAGACATGGGTCAGTAAGGCGGCCCAGTGGATAAGGACACTTGATGTCACAGCTGAAACTGAGTTCAGCCTCTGGCCCACACATAAAGGAAGGAGAAAAAAACTCTGAAAAGTTGTGCTCTGTGCTCCACATGTGCAGTGACACACTACAGAGACCCACATACAGAAGCACACATACATGAATAAATAAGTGTATACAAAAGGGTAAAAAATAAATAAATAAGAGAGAAAATCACTAAAGAACAGTGCTATATATTGAAAATCTCTAGCTCAAAATAAGTGGAGATCAAGTATTTTGGGTTTTGCATTATTTCTGGATTTGAGAATATTTGAAAACATATAATGAGACAGTTTAGCAATGGGTCCTGAGATGGTTGATATTGATTGCTTACTTGCTAGGATCTAGACTCACCTAGAAGACAACACTTTGGGTTTGTCAGGGAGGAATTTCTAGATTGCATCAATCAAAATAGGAAGATTCACTCTAAATATGGGCAGCACTGTTGCAGAGCCTGGGGCTTTGGATTTAATTAGAAGGAAAAATGAGCCGAGCACCGGTGTTCTTCAGCCTCTGCTTCCTGACTAAACATGAAATGTGACTAGCTGCCTCATGTTCTTGCCTGCGGGCCTTCTGCATCATGATGGGTTATACACTCAAGCTGTGAGCAGGCCTTCTATGTCGTGATGGGTTAAAAACTCACACTGTGAGCTGACCTTCCATGTCATGATGGTTTATACACTCAAACTATGAGTAGGCCTTCTAAGTCATGATGTGTTATACACGCAAGCTGTGAGCCAAAATAAGCCTTTTCTCACTTTGCCATTGTTAACTTGATTGTGACAAGGAGAAAAGTAGCTAATAAAGACCAAAATTGAAACATAAGCTTAATTTATGATTCAGATATTGTACACTTATAGTTCAAAGATAAGACAGCTTTACACATCAATTCAAAAAACTATATATATGTAACAAACTTTGAGTATATAGAACTATCAAGACTTTCAGAAGCATCAATATACAAAGAGGCGTGGGTTGAAAACATTTGGGATTTTATATTTTTTAAATTAGGTCTTCTTAACCAGAAATGATAACTATATGTATTATTTGAATGGTTCTAGCTATAAAATATGATGTAGTGCCCATTTTATTTTTCTTAATTGTGTGTATATGTGTGTGTGTGTGTGGGGGGAATATGTGCACTAGCGATTTCAGTTTCTCATCCAGGCCAGCAGAGGGCACTACATCACCTGGAGCTGGGGTTACAGTTAGGAGTGACCTGTACAAGGTGAATGCTGTGAATGAGACAGTAGTTCTCTGGAAGAGCAATGCACAGTCTTAACTGCTAAGCCATCTCTCTAGCTATAGTGTTCCTTTTTTTTTGGTAGCAAAATTATTCCATTTATTCTGTGGATTTTCCCTAAGTAAATAGACATGCTTTATGTTAATTTATACACGATGATGTGAATTAAGGCTGTAAAAGGCTTTAGGAAAACTCCCACTATTCCTGAAGCTCGTTGGGGCGGAGCTGACTTCCTGGACTTCTGCACACTTCCTCAGTGGGCCTGCACAGACACTGGCCAGACAAAGTGGCCTCTTGCGGACAGATCTGTTTAAAACAATCCATTCACTTGTTCGGTTTTAGGGTCCAAATCAATATCGTAAAACAGGGCGGGGTAGGGAGTCCAGGCATTGTGCTCATCGTTCCCACTAATGGGTACAGAAAACCAGCACCAAGGCAGGCACGGATGTAACGGATGGGCAGAACGAAGCCAGTAGGCACACCTTTTAGCTCTGGGTTATGAGACAATGACAAGTGTGTTTTGGCCATGCAGATGGCTGGATTCCCAAAGCCCTGCTTTGTATAGACCTCTGCTTTGTTCTGCGCTTCTGGGAGCAATTCGATGTCGCCTGCCCCATAGATCTTCTGTGCTATGATCCTGATTTTATCCTCAATTGGAAGCTTGAGGTCGTAGAGGAGCCGGAAGTTGCTGGGGGCCTGTGATGCTCGCTGGACTGTCTGAGCCAGGGCTAAGGCCCCCTGGTCTCCTTCTGCCCAGTGGGTGCATTTGACAGCATCGAAAGCCCCATGTTCTCTGGAAAGGTGGCGGATGAGGTCCAGTTCAGTGTCGGTATCTGTCTTGAATGCATTCATGGCCACGACCACAGGCACTCCAAACATCCAAGCATTTTCTATTTGTTCCCTCAAGTTACTGAAGCCCTTTTCAACCAGGTCCAGGTCCACTTCCGTGTAAGCCTTGGGAAGGGGCAGTCCAGCAGTGACCGTGGGGCCACCCCCATGCATCTTAAGAACCCTGACAGTGGCAACAAGAACCACCAAGTGTGGCTGGAGACCAGAATACCGGCACTTGATGTTGAAGAACTTTTCCATGCCTATGTCTGCTCCGAATCCTGCTTCAGTCACTACAAAGCCTTCAGGGCCAACAAGCTTGAGTGCAATCCGGTCTGCAATGATGGAGGAGTTCCCATGTGTGATGTTGGCAAAAGGCCCAGCATGGACAAACACTGGTGTGTCCTCCAAGGTCTTCATGAGATTGGGCTTGATTGCATCCTTCATCAGCACCGTCAGCGCTCCACTCACGCCCAGATCCTCGGCACTGATGGGCTCGCCTTTCTTACTGGATGCCACCACCATTTTGCCCAGTCTCTCTCTTATGTCTTCCAGGGAACTAGTCAGGGCCAGAACGGCCATGATTTCACTGGCTACAGAGATATCAAACTGGGCCGTGCGTGTCTGGCCTCTCTCTGTTGGAGCCTGTCCAGTTGTGATCTTCCTCAGGAATCTATCGTTGGTGTCCAGCACTCTTTGCCACGTTATGGTTTCAGGATCAATATCCAGTCTTGCAAATCTGTTTATCTCATCATCCGTCAGTGTGGTAGGGTCAGTCTTTTCAATGCCTAACCTCCGTAACCTTCAGATCTGGATATCAGAGAATTTTCTTACTCCATTTACTGAAGGCACCAAGAGGTTAAAGAGAGCCTTGTCTGTCTGGGTCAGCTCATGAAATACCTGAGCATCGATGGCAGCAGCCACGAGGTTATTAGCTGCAGTGATGGCGTGCATGTCACCAGTGGGGTGGAGATTGAAGTTTTCCATAGGAATGACCTGGAAATAGCCACCTCCTGTAGCGCCAACTTTTATCCCAAAGGTGGGTCCCTGAGAAGGCTGTTGCACACAAGCAAAAACATTCTGATTCAGATGGGTGCCGAGGGCTGGCAACAGTCCAATTGTGGTTGTACTTTTCCCTTCTCCCAGAGGTGTTGGCGTTATACCAGTCATGACCACGTATTTCCCATCGGGCTGGTTCTTTAGATGCTCTAGGGTCGACAGCAAGACTTTGGCCTTTGTGTCCCCATATAGCTCCACCTCTTCTGTGAGCAGCAAAATTTCTCAGGCCAGGCTACAGATGGGCTTTGGCTTGCATGATCGTGATATATCAATGTCACTCGGAACAGGTGTCTTGAGACTCAGCTTGTTAAACTGAATTGTCCACTTTCCTGGCTTAAATTTCTGCAAGAAATGCAGATGTGCACCAGCATCGCCACGGTCATGGGCCCCACGCCACCTGGGACAGGCGTGATAAAGCTCGCCCTCCCCTTGGCCTCGTTATACGCCACATCACCCACAACTTTCCTTCCATTGGGCTTTGTATCATCTGGAACATAGTTGATCCCACAATCTATGACGACAGCCCCGGGCTTGACCCATTCCCCTTTCAACATCTCAGGCTGTCCTGTTGCAACCACCAGAATGTCTCCTTTGTTTACCTCTTTGTCCAGATTGACAGTCTTGGAGTGGCAGGTGGTCACTGTGGCATTGTTCCACAGGAGCAGGTCATGCATGGGGGCACCAACTACTTTACTTCGCCCAACCACCACGGCGTGTCTTCCAGCAATCTGCACCCCTGTCTCTTTGATGAGCTCCAAGCAGCCGTTGGGTGTGCACGGAATGAAGCAGTCATTCAGATCACCTCTGGCAAGTCTCCCAGCGCTGATGGTAGTCAACCCATCCACATCCTTGTCGGGCACGATAGCGCTGATGACGGCTTCAGTGTTAATGGAATTCTCTGATTCCAAAGGCACCTGCACTATGAATCCGTGCACACTGGAGTCCTCATTCAAGGAGATGACATACTTTCACACCTCGGACTCTGTGGACGTTCTCGGTAATTTAAGGTGAGTGGCTTTGATTCCAATCTCCTCAGCAGATTTCAGCTTCACATTTATATAAAGTTTGGAGTCATCTCTGTCGCCAACGTGGAGACCACCTTCCCGTTCAGGATTCCCGCCGGTGCCATGGCCTTTACTAGTCTGCCACCCACGATGAACAGATCCCAGTCCCTCTGCGGGCACGCGCCGGATGGCACGTCCCACGTGGTCAGAGGTGCCTCCCGGGGAAATCTATAGTGTTCCCTTTTTACCATGAGAGGAGATTGACAAAATAGTTAATTCAACCCAAATGAATAGTGTCTCCCTTGGGAATTGATGCTGTGTCTCAGAACCAAAAAAGGTCAGAGGAGGAAGAAATATAAGACCGTAAGTCATCATTTCAGATGCAGCCTTCCAAACTACATTAAAAATTATCCTAGGATTATGGAAACATTCTAGTAGGCAGGAAAAATGGTAAGTAACTGCAAATGTTTAATTTGCTTTTTTTTTTCATACCTGCAAACCAGAGATTCTCAAGGCAAGGCCTGGGACAATTTCGCAAAGCTCAAATCAAAGTTTCTCAAATCTGATTAGTATGCATGTAACCCACACTGAATATAAAATCGGAACACCACAGGAAACAGAGGAATTCTAGAAAAATATATTCAATTGGTTCTAAGTGTAGGCTGTAAATGAGGTTTCAGAGGAAACTGAGAAGTTAATGGATTCATTGAGCAGCAAACAATATACATGATATGCTTGCTAGTGGGGGACCAGGAGTAAACTGGGCACAATGACTATGATCTTATCACGTAGGAATGTAGCGTCCCATGAGTGAAAACAGGTGGAAATTGTCGCCTGTTCCTGAAGTGTTCCAATTAATAGTTTGTACATAAAGTTGCACCTTTATGATCAGCCATCCTCATATTTGCAGATTATTGTCTGAACTACAGACTAATTATCCCCATAGAATTTTTTTCAGCAAGGAGAGACTATATGATATTTTCATAGTCACTACATTGCAAAGCGTTGCTGCCTTGACAATTTCTTGTATTAATTTCTTTTTTGTTGCTATGATAAAGTACCATGATCAAAGGCAACTTATAGAAGAAAGGGCTTATTTGGGTTTTCAGTTCCAGGAGACAGAGTCCTCCATGGCAAGAAAGGCATGGAATGGTGGCAGTAGTAGAAAGGCAGCCGGTCACATTGGATCTTTAGACAGGAACCAGAAGGAGAACAGGAAATGAGGAAAGATGGCAAACACTCTAATCCTGTCCTGCAGAGTTATACTTATTCTGACAAGAACATCTTAAAGGTTCTGTAACTTCCCAGCAGCACCACCTGGGATCCAAGAGTGCAAATGCATAAGTCCATGGGGTGCATTTCTCACTGAAATTATGCTACTTCTCAACTCTTATTCTGCTCCCCTTCAGTTATAGAAAGACAGATGAGAAAACAAAAAAAAAATTACACTAAATTAACCATTGTAGTTGGTTTCCCTGAGAACAGTTCTGTTCCTAAAAATAAGTAATTGAGCCAGAAGATCCATAGAACTGTTCTTATATCCGTAGATTTTGTCTTTTATATTAAGTATTATGATCCTGAAGATCCTGGTGTATATTATAGGGACTTTTAAAAGCAAGAAAAATACCCTTCCGAACTTGGAGTAGAAGGTCTATCTGTTTATGTGTTTCTTTCTTTTGTTGGTTAATGAATAAAGAAACTGAATTGGCCTTTTGATAGGGCAAAATTTAGGTTGGTAGAGAAGACAGAACTGAATTCTGGGAGGAAGAAAGCAGATCGGGAGAGACTCCATGGATCCACCGGAGATAAACACTGAGAATTTTCCCCGGTAAGCCACTGTCACATGGCGATACAAGGATTAATAGAAATGGGTTAAATTAATATAAGAATTAGCCAATAAGAAGTTAGAGCTAATGGGCCAAGCAGTGATTTAATTAATACAGTTTCTGTGTGGTTATTTCAGTTCTGGGCAGCCAGGACAAACAAGCAGCAGCCTTGTAGATATTAAAATATAGTGGGGAACATGTAAATTCAGAATCTTTGTTGTATTTTAAGGCAGATCAGAAAAATACTTTGCTAGATTTATTACAAGGTATAGCACGAAGAAACCAAGCCTCTAGAGAGTTCTTACCTCTTTGAAATCTTCAGATGAGTTCCTGTCTCATCTTGCCTCATACGTCTCTCTGCTTCTGGGATTAAAGGTGTGCATCACCACATCCCAGCCTCTATGTCTAACTAGTGTGGCTGTTGAGATTAAAGATGTGCAACCCCTGTCTGGCCTGTGTGGCTGACAGGTGTGGATACTTTTCACTGACCTTCAGGCAAGCTTTATCTATTAAAATACAAATGAAGTATCACTGCAACAAGGTCCTGCTGAGAAGTATAAATGGGGTATAAGGTAGGATACCCTTTTTCATTGATTTTATGAAAGAGAGTATAAGTTCTAGAAATGGCTGTCTAGGAAGGCTATCAACAGGGTATGGAAACTAGTTGGTGATAGATGTGGTCTGTTACCATTGGAATTTCAATGGTACACCATGGTTTTTGTGGTAAAAGCCTCTTCACTAGACAAGCCCTATTGGAAAGTAGAGGAACAGTAAAGAGGAAGAGTGTTGTGAAATATTATTTTAACTGGGCAAAGGTGTTACTTTTGTTTATGCTGCCTTTGTTAATGATGTAAACATGTGTTACATTTGTTTCACCTTGCCTGCCTAAGGCACTCGATTGGTCTAATAAAAAGCTTTATGGCCAATAGCTCAGCAGGAGATGGATAGGGTGGACTGGTGGGCAGAGAGAATAAATAGGAGAGGACAAGAGAGAAGAAAGAAAGGAAAATGAGGGAGAAGTAGAGGGAAATGCTTGCCCCAGAATTCAGGCAACCGTGAGAAGCAGTGAAAGCAGAACATACAGAAAGGAAGAAAGGTATGAAGCTCCAAAGCAAAACAGATAAAGAGAAACAGAAAAATAAGAGCTAAGATAAGGCTGAGCATTTACAACTAATAATAAGTCTCCATGTCAAGATTTGGGAGCTGGTTGGTAGTCCCAAAACAGAAATCCTGGTACAGAAGAGCCTCCTGGAGATGCTCCAGGTCACTGAAGATTGCCCTCAAAGGCAAATGTCTCTTCTACTGCCTCGCTTTCACTTTTTGTTCACAGTGACCAGATATGTTTATCTTGTGTTCCTTCCACAACTTGTTACTTCACCTGACTCTCCAACCAGTGGTCCCATTGGTCATTTGACTGTACCCCAAAACCTCTGGGTCAAAGTAAACACTTTTATGTGAGTTTGGCATATTGTTTGGTTAGTTCTTTTCCATCAGTGTGACAGAGTACCTGAGGAAATCTACTAGAACAAGGAAAAATTTAATTCAGGTTGTTAGTTCTGAGGTCACAACTGCATCCTTTTGTTTTGGGCAAGGCAGAAGTGAAGCAGAATGCCATGTGACAGTGAAGAGGAGGCTGCCCACTCCTCTTCGTGGTGTCAGGAAGCACAGAGAGGTGGAGGAAGATGCCTAGCACAAGATATATTTTTCAAGGATTCATCCCATGTCTTAGTTCTTCTAGAAAAGCCCTACATTCTAATAACAGAAAACAATTTATGGCAGCCTTTCTTCATGATACCACCAGCTGGCTACTGGGCATTGAACACAGGTCAAGTTCTATATCCAAATCATAACACCCAGGTATGCATTATGGCAATGAGAAAGCTGAGTGGCACTTGGTCTTTCAAATGTAATATGCTTCAGTTCTTACAAAGGATATATTTACAAAATTTCTCATCTAAACAGGTATTGTGGGGTGGTTGTGGGTACCTAGTATGAGATAAAACAAAGATGACCTAGGAAATATAGGAAACAGATGTGCTCTGTAATTAGAACAAGGAGCTGGAAAACATTTAAATATGTAAATTTATCAAGAAGAATGCAGCTTATGCTGGGACAGATAATGTATATCTTTAATCCCTGAACTCTTTAGTCAGAAGTAGGAGGGTCCTTGAGTTTGAGGCTA